TTATTTTTTTATTATGTAATATTTTGCGGAATTTTCGAAAAACTGCGTTCGGATACTTTCTTCCAGGTACTGTATATCCATATCCATTTACCATATTATATCATACTCGGATAATTAATTGCATATATAACTATTAATAAAAACAAGTATTAATAGATAGGACGTCAATATTCCATTCAATAAAAACTATATCTACTGCAGTCTTTCTTAAATTTGTAATATAAATGATAGCCTTTATTCATAATAGATAGAGTAAGAATTACTTATCTATAATTAAATTGTATATAAAAATAGTTTAATAATAGAGTAGGAAACTATGATATAAATAGTCTTCATCTCCAATAAACTTCATGAATGTTCAATTTGAATGTTTCAGTAATAGAAAATAAAAACTTACTGTACATATCCATAGAATCTTTCTAAAAGTAATGGTATTTTTTGAATCCTAGTGGGGTAAGGAATTGTTATGTTATATAGACTTTGTTTCTAATAAAACTCTGTGGGTATTGAAGTTATCTAGATGGCCGGCCAAAGTAGTAACTATGGTTGTTTTCTTATTATGCATATAATTACAAAATTTATTTGAACATTATTATGTAAATAATTTTTTTGTCAATTGAAAATGTGATTTTACATATACAAATCTACTTTAAAATTATATAGTCACACAACATAATTTCGAGATTGTCACAAAGTGATAAGCGTGATAAACCGAACTTCCATCATGCTTGTATTATCTCGTTCGGGTTATATCATAAATCCTGGAAGGATCTGCAATTTGGAACCCTTTTTCTAAAAACATGCATGTTTTATGTCCAACGCTTCATATATATTAGTGCGTAAATATTGTCGAATTTTTTAAATAAGAGTTAAAGTTACAGTCGTTTATTTCAATCATGGCCCGGATAGCTCAGTCGGTAGAGCGTGAGGCTTTTACGCCACGCGTGATATTACCTTAAGGTCCTGGGTTCGAGCCCCAGTCCGGGCGATATATTTTTGAAAAAATTTTACCCTCCTTCTAAGGATTAGAGCCTAAAAACTTTTATGAAACGTACAGTCAATTTATTTCCTTAAGAGGCATGTTAGCAATGCCAGACAGAGTAAACAAATTAATTTCGGGGAATAGCGCCCTATCAATAATTTTAATATTGATGTGCGTTTTATTTTCATTTATCGTTTCTCCATATAGAATGATTGGGTACAATAAGTAAAAATTATTTTGTGTCGCGGAAGATTATTGCTCGGTTATTGAGCATTTACATTCTAAAAGCAGTAGTATAAATTCATGCCAAGCTTATTGTTTGTTATTCCTTGAATAATATTTTGTTTCAGTTTTTGTTTTTCTAATTCTTTGACATTCCTGAATAATAATAGTATTTTCATTTGGGATAGTTTTCTTATTCTCGTTTAAATATGATATCGATGGACAGAGTACATTTTTAAACAATAGTTGCGCAAAAACACAATAATAATAATAATAGATTATATTCGTCCAAAAGGTTTTTCCGACAATTTTTTTTCTGACAAAAAAAAAAAATAATTGAACAAAACTTAATAACCAACCACACATGAGACTTTAACACGTGATAATACACATTTGTAATTGGGTTCATTCATTATTTTATTTAATTATTATAATGTTTTTTATGCAATTTTTGTTTCAAAGTGCGTCCAACTTTTGTTCATGTATACATAAAAATAATAAAAATGAAAAATTACATCACTATAATAATACATCATAGCCAAAAGCAAAAGAATGGCAATAGAAATCTCAAGAATATGTGATTGCAAACTAGATTCTTTCATTAAACGATCAAAGAAATGGTAAACGAATACAGAAGCAAAAACAACGAGATATTCCGAATATGTGAAATACTTTCACTTTTGCCAAAATAAAAGTAAAAAGGGAGGTGTAAATATAACAATGGTAGACTTCAAGCCGCAAAATGACCCATACGGCAACAATCGAGGCATTATGATAAAATTTTTTTAGAGTTTTTATAGTAAATATAATTAAAGGATATAATAATAATGCTAATTGTCCCATAATCACTGTAGCCGAACCAAAATTACGCTAATGGAACTGTTTGGAAAAGTTCAGAATACTCATCATTATTAAAAGATGTGTATGATCACAATTATTACAAAGATAAAGTTAAATAGACTAATTCCCAGCCCAGTTAGATATAATTCGTTATAATATTTCTTAAATATAGCAAGGCATCGGGGCTGGCACAGACTTGAAAAAATAATTCTATAGTGTATAAATAATAATCTCATGAATAGGCAAGAGGTCATTCCATTATTATTATTTGCACAACGCAAATCTAAATAATTAATTCCTCTAGAAATAAATTCTGTTTTATGACAAAGTAATTTTTGTACAGAATAGGTAATGAACCAGACTTGTGAGTTCTTGTTCATAATGAAAACAGCAATGAGCAAGATATCAGCAAATTTTCTTTGTTCAGATGATTCAGGTGGTTGTTTTCCATAAACTAAGATTTTTGGGTCTCAAGCCCAATTCAAATTTATATGGTAGATTGTTGTAATTTTCCTTTCAAGTTTCTTGCTTTTCACATGATTTGGTGTTAAAAATTTCTTTATAAAATTTTATATCATTTGTATCATATGAAAAAATTTGATTAAATCCTACCAATGGAATAATATAATTTTCAATTCAATTCAATCATACCAAATATTTTTATTTAATCCTAACTTCCAAATTCTTTTAAATTTTAAATTTTCCTTACTCCCCATTGAATATCATGGTCCAAAATTTTAGTAATAAACAATGATTTTTTGATATCTTAAATTCTAAAAATAATTCCAAGTTGTCATATTTTAATTCGCAATATCATTGATATAAATTGGATGTTGATGAATCCAATTTTTTTCTTTTGTGATTAAAATCTTTGTTGTAATTTAGTTCACCACATGCTTCACGAATTTCATAAATATATCCATTTTAATATTTACATCAGATAACCTCAATACATTGGATAAATATTTTCTTTTTCAAATAAAAAATAACATTATCATCAGATGTATTTGTTTGATTATCTAATAAAGCAGTTTAAAATACGAAGATCTTGCTTTTAAAATATTAGATGAGCTTTAAAGGTTTTAACATTCTCGTTCACTCTGACTCTAATTTCTATATTATAACAACCAGTTAAATTTACAAATATGCTTTTTTTTGAAAATTGAGATGATGGAGGGTTACACGATTTGAAAGAAATCCATACTAATACTAATATATACTAATATATACAGCATGTGTGCAGATCTTTGGTACAAGTTTTCTCTATATAGGTGTTATATTGAGGTTGTTGAATGTTAGAAGGTGGCCAAGAATTCTTGCTACAACAAAAATTTCCATGTTCATGCAAACAATGTGAGAACCATGTTTTAGGATGCTTTATATATACTATTAAAACTTGCAAAATATATTTGATTGGTGCACAATAGGTTTATATTTCTTTAAAATGCATTCTTCACTATTACGCGCAATCTCTTTAGTAAATTCAAGACCACAAGGTATGTTTCCAGTGCATTAGTACACTATATATTATTATTATTATTCGATTAAGTGACATGTACCGCCATGATTTGTGCTATATTAACGCTAAAACTGTGACATTATCAACACCAAGATGCTAAGCCAAATTGATCCGTTAATTTGTTATATGGAAAATGGTGACGTCATTAAGAACTGGAGATATAACTTTGAACAGACCATTCTTTTCAGTTTCTTTAATAAAATATATTTGGGAAAAAATCATGTAGTTTTACTAGTACTAGCAAATAAAGTTTTCAATGAAAACACTTCGTTTTCGTGTAACTTTATGTATCTGATATTTTTATTTTAAACTGAAATAAATAATGTGCATTAATCATAACAACAACATTGATATTGATGAGAAATATGAAGATGGAGGCAAGAACAGTAGATTTTTTTTGGTTCATTTAAAAAATAAAGTTAAAAATTTGTTTAAAAAAAAGGTATATAGAAAAATAAAACAAAATTTCTTTAAAAAAAGATAATTTAAATTATATAACGAATGATATTATTTACAACAATAGCATTGTCAATACAACCACAATAACAATAACAATGATAATAATACGTTTCAAAATTTATTACCAAATCATAAAGACGTTGATGTTTCTAATATTAATAATCCGGAATATGCTAAAACAGCTCTTCAAGCAATTGATCAAGTTTCATCAGAATTGAGAGAAATAAGCTTAAAAGTAGTTATTTATCTTTAATTTTTGATAGTAGTAATTAAAAATTTCTACAATATTTATATTTATAATACATAACATACATAAAATAGATTCATGAACATCCAGAATTAGCATATCATGAAAAATATGCACATGAATTGTTAGTTACATATTTGAAATCCAAAGGATTTGAGGTAACTCCAAGCGCATATGGAATCGAAACAGCTTTCACCGCTGAATTTCAATCTAAAGCTGGAAAGGGAAGAACAGTGTCATTTAATTCTGGTAATTAGATGAAATCAGATTGGATTTTATTTTTTTTTATCATTGTCATTAATTTTTAGACAAATTTACTTTTTAGAGTGAGTGAATTTTTTAAATATTGGCTTTCCCCCTCTTAAATTTATATATATATATATATATATATTAATACATGATCGAATTTTAAGATATGATGCACTTCCAGGAATAGGTCATGCATGTGGCCATAGTAAGTTACCATATATGTATAGTATATATTTATGGACATGGAATTATAAACTAAAATATTTTTTTTAAATATCATTTATAACTATATATGTAAATATAGATTTAATAGCAATAAGCGGTGTTGCTGCTGCAATTGGTATTAAATCAGTTATTGAAAAATATGAAATTGAAGGAACTGTAAAATTATTAGGCACTCCTGCTGAAGGTATTATTATTATTATTATTATTATTATTATTATTACTATTATTTTTAATATTACATATGTGTTTATGCTTTTTTTTTTAAAGAAACTGGTGGTGGAAAAATTGATTTGATTGAGGCTGGTGCTTATGATAATGTTGATATTTCTTTAATGGTTCATCCAGGGTTGTCTAAATAATTTACATCATAATAATCACTATTTTATATTAATTAATTATTGGTATTTCTTTTATATTTGGTTATTGTTTTTAAATAGCACTATTGACGCAGCATTTGCAAATTTTTTCGCATTAAGAGCTGTCAGTGTAGAATATTTTGGAAAGAATGCACATGCTTCAGGTATTCTAAGAAACCAAACTAACAAACACTACATATATGTGTGTGTAATATTTATTTATTAATTTAAATTTTTTTTTTTAGTTGATCCGTGGGATGGTATTTTATCAATCAAATATATATGTTAATATATGAACGTTGGTTTTTTCGGAGAAAATTAAAATCAATAAAAATTTTTATTTTTTTATATAATTAATTAGGAATTAATGCATTAGATGCTTTAATTTCGGCTTACAGCAATATTTCGTTGCTGAGGCAACAAATTTTACCTACTAATAGGTAACAGAAAAAAAGTCATTAATTAATTTCAAAAATTTATTATTTAAAAAAAATTTATTTTTTAATTTTTAGAATTCATGGAACTATTACAAATGGCGGAAAAGCTCCAAACGGTTAAATAAATTTCTTTTTTAAATTTCAATCTATAATAATAATCATTTTTTAATATAATTTATTTATTTAGTTATTCCTGATTACACTTCTGGATCCTTTTTGATTCGCGGTAAAACAATAAATGATTTAAGATCTTTACAACCACGTGTTCAAAAATGTTTTGATGCTGCATCTGTGGCTACTGGAACTAAAGTAAAAACTAATTGGAGAAGAGAAGTTTGTGGTAAAAAAAATTTAATATTGTTTTTTTTTTTATTTTGAAATAATAATGATAGTGATAAAATGATAATAGTAATTAATAATCTATGATATGAATGAATAGATGTTAAAAATAATGGACCTTTAGCTACAAGATATGAATATTATTTGACCACATTATTTGGTAAAAAATTCCAACCAAAACATGAACAATTAGCATCACCAAGTGGTGCCTCAACTGATCAAGGTAATGTTACATATGTGGTGCCTGGTATAGAACCAGCGTATGACATACATGCATTACCTGGCAATTATAATCATACAATAGGATTTACTGGAGCTGCTAAAACTATTTTGGCACATAAAGAAACCATTACGGCTTCTAAAGGTATTACTTTGGTTGGTTTGGATTTCTTGATCGATGATGAATTTTCTAAAGAAGTAAAGAGGGTCTTTAATGAAAGTTAACAATTGGTTGATTAAAAATAACAATATTGGGAATGCATGATTTCTAAAAATTCAAATCATAAATTATAATTCAAATTGAAATGATGTTTTTGAAGAAAATATAAAAAACACGAAAATTTAAATTATTATCTTAATATACTATTTTACATATATATCAATATTAATATTAAATAATCAACTCTACCAAAATTTCTTGACGTGTTGCTGATCCATCCAAAATTTTTTCCCGTGATAGAAACAATAAAATAAAAGATTTGTCCCAAGAATTGATTGTCTTGATTTTATTTTTATTTTTGTGATCGATAAGGATTCTTAAGAATTGCCTTGGTTTACGATATAGACGTAGATAGTAAAATAAAAAAAAGATCAAACGTTCATCTAGAGGTAGATCAAAAATAAAATGATATTTTGAATATTCATAATTATTATCTATATGTTTGAATAATAAATAATTAATATTCGAAATATTCGAAATTTCGAATATTCACGCTTAAGCAAGAGTGAGATTTGGTAAAATATTATCTCTGGTCTTATAAAAATAATAATGAAGAAATGGGATTATATTCAACCATGAAAGATTTTTCCTTCAATTATCCAACTATAATAATTATTCTTAAAATAGTTACTGGTTATACTTCTTTCTAATGCTCAAGTAGAAAGAATATCCTCCCAACAAAATTTAATAAAAAATAAAATGAGAATGAATATTGATATTTGAGTAATCATTCGCTGACATTATTAAATGGACCAGAAATAGAAGATTTTGAAAAAGCATATAAGCATTGGGAAAGCAAAAAAAAAAAAAAAAGAGAAAGAGCAACCATGAATGTTAAAGAAAATATATTTATTTTTTCCGAGCGCACCATTCCTTAATCTCTAGAAATGAATATGTTGCTACATATTAATTTTAATTATTTTTCAATAACTATAAACGAAGTATGCTAATTAATGGATCAATACTCGGTTGGACCAAGTTCTAAATTTGACATCCTCAAAAGGTATGTCAATTGACTCGACATCGCCAACCTCATCCTGCAGAGTTAAAACCTTCTTATTGACAAGGTAATCCTGTATATTTTATTCTTAAAATTAATGGTAGGTAGGACTTTAATTCCATGACCATAATTTTTATCACGCGTTGGGATTTTTGTCCATTTAGTTTTAGTCGATTTTAATGTCTTCCAACATGCTAGATTATAGTTGCAATCAATTATCGTGCCTCTTTAAAATTTTAAAGATGACAATAGTTTTCTTGATCATAAACATTTATCAAGAAAATTGATCGATAGAGTCTATCTTGAGTCAATGCTGTAATCCTAAATTTAAACCTAAATGAGATTCAGGTGGTTGTTTCCCTAAGTCAAGAGTTTAGGGTCTCAGGCCCGAATTCGAATTTATATGGTAGATTGTTTATAAACCAATTTTTACGTCAAATAACTTCAAATACATTGGATAAATATTTCCTTTTCAAATAAAATAATGCCATACTCAGATATATTCCTTTGTCCAATTATCTAATTAAGAAGTTTTAAATCACAAAGACCTTGCTTTTATAATATTGGAATGAGCTTTAAAGATTTTAACAATCTTGTTCAGTCTGATTCTATTTTCTGCATCATCATAACGAGTTAAATCTTTTAATAATGGTAATCGGTTAGAGAAGGAACAAATGAGAAAAGGGCAATTCTTTTCTTTCCACCCATAGAAAAATGTTTTAACGGAGAAAAGTGTCTCAAGTTATTTTCTTTTTATGGTCTTAGTGTCCATTTGTAATTTATGATATAATTATGATTAAACAACAAATTGGCAATTAAAAAAAAACACCAGAGCGACTGAATGGGAGGAAAATACTTGTTTTTAGTCACTCTGACACAAATATATACTACATTTTCACTCAATAATACTATTAATATCTTCATCTTTACCTTCATTATCAACTTTTTATCATAGTCTTTATCATTATCATCTCATTATTCCTATCGTTTTTCCCAAGATTGGCTAGAGCGAGCTCATTTTTCTCTCCAGGATGACTCATGGAATGAAAATCAGAGTCATGCCCAACCTTTTCTTATAATCATTTCATCGATTTTTTGATATATAGATCTGGTTTTTGCCAAGGGAACGTCTAATCGATAATTCGTAAAAGAATTTACTTGTAAAAAATAAGCATTTTATTGATTTTTTTAATGAGACATTTTCATAATAACCTTTTGTGTTCATCAAACACAGATACAAGATTACGTACGATCAAAACACAGTGCAAACTAAACTAAACTATAAATTGTTTATCAAATGCATGAACCATCAAACGGTTGATCCGTCTATTGTTTCTAATGCATACCCATATGGAAATTCTGATATATTAAATCCAAAAATTAATACAGTAAAGCAGCATTTTCTATGGACATGGAATGTTTTCCACCTGAAAATTTTCTTGTATCATGTGAATTTGCATATTTATATTAATATTCCTAAAATGATATAAAAAATGATTTTTTTACTAATATTTTTTTCTCTTTCATTAAAATATAAAATTTTTGACTTTCTGTAAAAAATGGAAACGTTATCAAAAGAAAATTCCAATCAAAATATTACTAATGGTGGTATTAATAATGATAAATCTGCAGACTCCTATAATATGTCAAAACCGATTAGTATGGAGTATGAACATAAAGGTTCAGAGTCTGGTGGTGGTGCCTTCGCTCCAAGACCAAGCTTTAAACAAAAGTATATCTCATGGTTTTCGGATTAATTTAATTGATAGATTACATTCAATATAATTTTTTTTTATCTCTTATTTGTAAATTTTAGTGCTCCCGCGGTAAAACAAATTATACAATCAATTGTTCGAGAACGATTAAGTAATGCACTGTATAATAAGGATCAAGCTCCTGGTTGGGCACATGAAATATCCCAAGAAATTAAAAAAAAGTTATTAGGTGAACTTTTGTAGTTAAATATTACATATATATATATATATATCAACATTAGCTTCCCAAATAATAATAATTAATTTATAAAATAATTTTATAGAAATGGATTTACAAAAATATAAATATGTAATAAATGTTATAATCATGGAAAATAAAAAAGAAGGTGCAAGGTAAGAATAGAAAAATCCAAAATCCAAAATCCCAAAACTAATTAATCAATTAAATTAAAATTTTGTTAATTAAGGGTTGAAATGGGTTGTGTATGGGACACTGACACCGATAATGTAGCATTTGAAACTTTTAGAAATGTATGTAAAATATTATTTCTTCAATTAAGTGAACTACAGAATTAATCAATATTTTATTTTATAAATATTATTCAGGAAACTATTATTTGTTTAGTTATGTCATTCGGAATCTACATCGGTTGATTAATATTTAAACTATTATTATCGAATTATTGAAAAACCATTGTTTAACGATTAATTAAATTATTTAATAAATAAAAAATAAAACAATAATAGATGGATCGAGGCACCAGAATTTTTAATCTTGACATTAATTTTATCGATTATATAGAATGGCAGACACTTTTCAACAAAGAAAATAATTGATGGTCCTACTTCAGCTCCTGCAGAAGCAGGAAGAATTGCATGTGACCCTATGATATGGAAGGTAGCTAACCGACATAATAATATTCTTTTGGTGTATTTTTCAACGCCAATTGCTATAAATACTGTTATTGCCACTGTGTGTATCATCAATACTAGAGTCGTTAGCCGAAAGGTATAATTTTTGACAAACATTTAGGCATTTTGACTGTCGAACATATTCGACAAGGTCGCTTGATTTGCCATAATGTCGAAACATGTCGAAATGCCAAAAGTCTAAATATTTGTCTAAATTAATATTAACATTAATGTATAACTAGGTTAAGCTGAACCTAAGCTGAACTAATGACATCCCTATATGTGGCGAAAAAAATTGGTCATGTGACATGTACAAAAAATTGTGGAATGGGGGAAATTTTCTGCTGCTTGACATCATTAGTGTTAGTCAAAAAAAAAGATTGATGCTATCTAGAGCAGCTGGAAACTCTAGTGGAATTAGCATTTCTCATATTTATTCCATCATGTATTCTTTGAAATTTGCAACACCCAAGATTAATGGTTAACGGTATCAACCTCTATGCGACAACAGTGCAATATAGATCTCATAATCACAATATAAGAAAACTTTGGTAAATGATTATTATTTCGAAAGGTTCATTTAAATGAAATTTGCCCGGCGTCATGATTAACTGTAATACAATTTTATGATGTCTCTTCCTTGTTTTTTTATAGTAATTAATTGTAAAGATATCCTTGATGCTTATGTTCCATAAAATTAGGTGTTAATATGGAACCTCTGAGGAATACTTTTGATTACAGGTTTTCTCGACTTTATTGCGTCAACTGTTTGATATTTTATCGGCTGGTTCTTGTAAGTTTTATAATAAAGTAAAACCCCAGCCAATAATTCATAAAAACACATTTGTAAAAGCAAGCATGTTTGTTAAATATTATTATTAGTTGAAAATAGTATAATAGAGTTCATTATCAATGCTGATATCAGCATTTACTTCTGACCAACAATCAGAAAAATTTATATAACTGCCAATCTTTTGATTAATCAACCAAAGTTTATTGCAAAATGAAAATAATTTATTTTCAAAGGTTAATACTTTGAATTCATTCCAACCGCCTTCATCAACTCTTTTTATAGAGCCATCATCACTTAATGAGATTTCCCATACGATGTAGTTAAATAAATTTTTTAATGTCATGTTGATCTGATAAATAAAGGAATAATCTTTGATAAATAAGATCTCTAAAGCAGCCACACGAGTTGAACTGATCAAATCTTGTGCAGATTTTGAGCAGCCATTACGAGTTCTTTTGACTTTACAAACAGGTGGCCAAATTGCAACACCCGCAGCATATTATCATACACAAATCATTTATTATATTCACCTACTTTTTTTCACTATTATATACATCCATCAAGGAAGGCGACGAACATTCATTATTAAAATTTTTCATATTTTCAGCTATCCATTTTTAGTTTGGCGTTGTGTGAGTGGATGTATCCAATCCAACATAGTTTTTTTTTGTTGTTATTGTTACTTCTTGAGTAGTCAAGAAGTCAATCGTGTAAAAAGGTCTATATGACCGGTTTTTAGTTGTAAAGTTCATCCGACCAAAATTTGAGTTTTTTAGAGAGTTCGGAGTTTGTTAAATTTGTCAAGTAAAAGTTTAAAGAGTGACGCTTTTAATTTCCCTCAAATTGGGGGAGGGAAAAATTTTTTTTTCTTGTGAGTTGCGCCGTGACGAGAAAAAAATTTTAGTCATAGTAAATTTCCTTTTTAATGGTGGCGTTGCATAAATAAAATTACATATTAATATACAAACAAATAAAACTTTTTCTTCAATTAATACAATGAATTCCTTCCCAAAAAATTAGGTATGAAAACCAGACTACTCATATCTGTACTCTCCTGTAAGTTCTGCAAAGAAGAGAAAGGTCGCTATTGTTTACAATGAGTTGGATTTGTAAAACCTCAGATTTTCCAAAGAGATTTCTTCGAATATAAACACTCATCGTAGTAGTATTAAAATAGTGATCAATAATATTATTTTGATATTGTTATTTTTCTTTATTAAGGTAAACATCGTTAAGAGAATGGCGAAGAACTATTAGAAGTTTTAATAGGTATACGATAGATTAAATTTGTATTACACTAACAAATTTTTAAATAATTTATGATTTAAAAAGCTAAAAATAACTATAAACTCCGGTTTGATTTAACAAATTAATTATACACAGTGTGTAACAAAAATAATGGTTACAACATTTTGCATAACAAACAATAAAATGTGTTGTTTATCATGATTCGCAGCTTTCTTATTTCTCGTTGAAGACATTTATAAAATAAAAGGCTTCGTCTACTTCTACTTTCTACCTCTAACATCTTATAAGTACGTGTCACACGAATATCGAGGTCTAACTTCAAAATGTTTCACGTTATTTACATTACTAGCCTGATAATGCTCTTCATCAAGGAATAATACATCAGGAAATGAACATAGCGTTGAACATGATTTCAAAATGCCTAAAGAATGAGTACTATTGAACATAAGCAGGATAATGGCTGTCTGATCCAAGGTTTTATATACTTTTTTTTAAAAAAAATAATCGGATTTCTTTTATTTTTAATTGACAAAGTTCTAGAAAATATAGATGCATGTAATTTTATATGCCAAATCTTCAGAATTTAAGATGCAAACCGATATAATTTTTTTGTATAATTATTATGTATATTTTTGCATTAGAATAATTATTAAAAAATTCATGTCAAATTTTTTAAATCAAAAATTTTGTGAAGGTTTTAAAAAAAAGATGTGAATTAGCTTTACAAAAAAAATTGGCAATATAAATTTTTTTATTTTAAATTAATCTAAACCTATTCAATTATGCTTTACAATCGTGCAAACCCACATTCATCTATCTTTCAATATTTGTTGAGCAACTTTTTGTCACCGCTATTATTTTCGTTACACACTGTAAACAAATTTGGTAAGAGTAATATAGTAAATGATAAGAATTATTTCGTCGATTCAAATTGTGAATGAATGTTTATTAGTAATATGGACAATTAATTTTTCACTTATAAATAAAGTTAATTTACGTCAAAGTTTTAACATAAAAATGTCACAAAATCCAGTAATTGAAGTAATTCGTAAATTACAAGAACCCATGCCACAATATGTGTTGGGTCTCATTCCTGTAATCGTAACATTGGGAACAGCTCCATTTGAATCCTTGCTATATAAACTAGCCTGGATTTTCGAATGCATTTCCGCACCTTTCATAGGTCTGTTTTACTACTTGGTCATAGGAGTTGACCCAGTGGAAATGTGTATATATTGGCTCCCAGAAGACTCTTTTGTTACAACAAAAGAGAAAATACTTGACTTTCGACCAGTCGGTATGCACGTCAAAGACGTGCTGATTACTTCGGAGCAAAAACAAATTCTTAAAAACTGCACAGCAAATGCATCTGTGTTGGATCGTTTGTCCTCGTTGGCATCTGGATATTATATCATAGTTGGAATAGTTTTAGGCATTTCCACTATGGCGGGACAATGTAATCAAGGCAATTGGCCCTTTTTAACTTGGTCCTTTCTTTGGACTATTCCGGTGATTGTTAGGAGAACATTTGTAACAGGGATCATTGTAGTCAAGGATCCTAAAATAGAGTTAAAGGGTCACTTAATAAGGGTGTTAGAAGAAAATGAAGACATAGAGGCTATAAAAAATGAATTCGTTGAACGGGGTGAAAAACCCATACCAAAACAATTTAACAAACGTTACAAAAGATTAATGTTTATAATTACTACATTATCCTCGGTAATATTACCATGGATATCAGTAGGCATTGCCTACTTCAATCCTCCAATTGGATTTTTTTGTAGATCCAAATTTCTTACAGCATTGTGCTCTATATGGACATTTAACAATCTCGTAGCATGCATTTGCCACATTAATTTTGGATGTGACTTTTTAAAAAGAAAAATAACGAAAAAAATTATTCACGCTTATTTTGTTACATCTGGTATTATAATAGCATCACTTTTGCTTCTGCTGGTGGTGCTGATCAATGAATCGACATATTGGGTTTATTTATTCGGAGATGAGTGTAGAGGGCATCCCTGCTTTTCAGAAGATTCGGGAACATAAATATCTACCTATAGTATAAAGATTAACAGATTATCTTTTTGGGGAAAGGTCTCTCCAGTTTCCAAAATCTTCAATGACAAATTTCAACACATATGGTCAAACTCAAGCATAGCACTTTAAACAAAATTTATTGATCGAGATAACTTTATTTTCGCTGTTTTAATTCATCTTTAAATTTCACTTTATTAATAGAATAATTTATAATATTATTATTATTTATTGTAACTTTACTAATAATTGTAAATAAAATTTTTACTTTTTACATTATTTTGAATCATTTTCTAACTGAATTTTATAATTAGTTAGTTTATAAATGAATAATAATGTTGAACGTTGCTGTCTTTTTGAATTATATTATTAGAATAAAGAGAATACACATTCATCCCACACAAATTACATTGTTTGACTTTCAAATATCTATTTTAATATTAGTAAGTGAAATGAAACAGGTGATGTGGATTATAGAGGGATTAATGGTCAGATACATAGGAATGGAGTGGTTTGGTTTTGTGAAATATTATTATAGAAGTTTGCCTAAATTTTGGCAAATTAAAAATTTAGTTTCGGTTTTCAAGCAAGTTAAAATGCCAAAATTAAATTTATATGCAAAAACCAAAATTATGTGCAAAAACCATAGATATTTGCCTAAACTATATTTTATCACAATAAATATTTTAAAATTTAAAACTGTAGCGTCTATTGCATAAATAGCCCATTATTTCTTTGTCTGAATAATAACGATATTAATAATTGACAATGTAATAATAAAAGTAAATTACAAAACTTTTGACATTCAAAATGATATATAATTTAAATCATTAAACTATCTACATATGTATTAACAATAACCTTTTCCACAAAATAATTAATTTATTGGGAGATAAATTGACTTTGCCCTTATTTAAATAATTATATTGTTATGAATATTTATAATTTTTATACATTTTATTCCTACATAAATAATAACGATGGGTAAGCAACAATAATATACAAATTGTCAAAAAAGGAAAAGAGAAATGTAAAGAGGTATTATTAAAATGCGTCAACGAAATGTGATTTAAAATAAATATTAAATAACATTACTACATATTAACTATAAATAAGTTTTGAATATTATGTGCAATAGAATTCGGGCTTTCTTTTGAATCTAAGGTCACTCAATTCGAGATACAAAAATATATGGTGATAGGTAAAGAACTATTATTTTTTTTTTTTGAATTTTAAATACTTGTATGACATCTTCAAATAAGCATCATAATCAAACCATCTTGGGGAGAGGCTATGTGCAGGCATATTAGTGAACAAGAGCAATGAACTTTCTGTCAGGGAAAACTTAGGTATCGAATTTTTTTTGCAGTACTCTATGGAACATTTTTTGAATAATCTTCTAATTCATTTGGTTTTTCTTTACTATTTCTCAAGGGATGCTGGAAAAAGACGTGGGACGGGTCCATGCCACATCTGCCCGTCCTCATCCTTTTCAAGTTTAGCCCATTAATACTAGAAAAGGACGGGTGATGGTACGGATATTCTGCAAAATAATGTAAAGAAGGGCGGGTAAACAGGTGTGGTGTGGTGATGGCGCAGAAACCAGTCCCTGTCCTTTCCTATTATTAATGGGCAAATCTTGAAAAGGACGGGTTACTGTGCCATTACCACCCGTTTCATTGCTCTTTTTTGTTATTCGCGGACAAACCATGAAAAGGACAGGTGAAATGTGTTTGTCGTAAATATAATTTTTAGTAAACAGGATGCAAAATTGGACTATTATAATTTCCCGTCTTTATTTATTCCTTATCTAAAGTCTTGATTTTTTATTTTTTATTATGCAATTAAGGCTAAAATTCATGTAAAAATAAAATACAAACCATAATAGATAATAAATTAAAATATAATATAATTGGACACATTAAAAGGACAGGGGACAAGCAGATGTGGCTGAATCCGTCCCTCGTCCTTTTCATTTTGCATCATTATTATTAATATTTATTATCTCTTAAACGGTCAGAGTATTCTTTAATGGTAATACAAATTAAAGTTTTGATCATTCTTATTGGACAACTAGCACTATGTTTTGTACGTCCACCAAAGTCGCAATGTTCAACATTGATTCCAGTATCAATAACGTAGACATTTACGCCTCGACCAGCTGTGTCAGGAAAGATGTATTTTTTGTCAAGCGGAAAATTAGCTTGATCAATACGATCCAAATTGAATAATGGATTATTAACAACGGCTCTTTTGAACAGACTGCCATTATTTCCAGATGGAAGAGCATAATTTGCTTTGATTTCCTGTTCTTGTTCGACGACAGAAACTTCATCCAATTTTGCTATTTTTTTAGCATCTTCAGGAGTAAAGTATCCATTATACCCGACTACTTCTGAATCAACAGAGAAATCATAGATCATTTGTTTATCATCTGATCTTGCAGAGAAGTTGCTTGCATTGACTTTTTGAATTTTTCTTCCTAAACGCTTTTCCGATATTTCAAAATGTTTGAAGGCAAGCATTTTTTTCTGAAGACGATGATGCAGAAGTAGAGGTTATTAATAAGACGATGTAGAGTTTAGCGTTTTCAGAAGAAGAAGGAGAAAATTTGGCGGCGAATTGACAATTGACATTATTGTTGCTAGGAGCCGATTGAGCAGCTGTGGCCAAAAAAGCAACGATGATAGCAATTGAAAAAAATTTGTATGAGACCATTTTTATTATTTTTAATTGATAAAAAAAAGAGTCGAGAGGAGAAGGAATAAAGAAATTTTTTTAATGATTGTGAAATAATCACGCAGAAATTAACAATATGTTAATGTGGTAAGGAAAAAAGAGGGAGAAGATGTGGTTGAAGGTTTGAATTTTTGTTTTAAGGAAAGTATTATTATTTTTATTTTTATTTTTCGAAGAAAAATTCCATCCCTTTTTTATAAAAAAAAACTAGATAAATGCTTTATGACAGTGACTTCGTCACTGGTGTTACTTGTTATTTATTGTTTTAAAGTCTCTATTCAAATAAAAGTTACTATTTGAAGAAAAATTTCTGGCCTTTGGCAAAGTTGAATGATTTTAATATTGTTATTTAATCACCAATAAAATAATTGAATCACGGAAAATATCTCAGACAACGGAGAAACAAATATTCTGATGTAACAGACCTTTAATTCTCAGATTAAATTCAAACGAAGGAATTTAAATTATTGGATCACTTTAGAAATAACTTGAAAATAATTCTACACAGAAAGTTCAAGTAATACGTTTAATTAGGAATAATAAATAATATTGTCCTTAACTTTGTCCTTGTTGTTGACTTGAATATTGTATTTTCGTAATGATAATAAATCTATCCCTAACGATGAATCCATACCAAATCTCATTTTTTCTCTTATTTTGTATTTGGACCAATCAAATGATCAATCTATATCTGAGAAAAAAATAATCGCGTCTTTTTTTAATAAAAAATTACATTTAAATCATTAATTATATTGAATCAAAATGCCACCAATTTCAAAAAAAAAGAAAATATAAAAATCAAACAAGAAGTGTAGAAGGCAAGTATGAGTCAAAAAAGGTGTACCAACATAATATTATTATAGACAATTACAGTTCTGGATCTTTGGATATGATTGAACATGGTGAACATGGTGAAGAAGTAAATTGTGAAAATTATGATGAATTAAATTTTTTTGACTCTGGTGATAGTGAATTGGATGTTGATAATGAAAGTGGTTGGGATGATATGGATGATGCAGAAGAGGAGATTAAAATTAATAGAAAACTTAAAGAATTAAAATTGGAATGGAAGGAAAATGCTCAATTAGAAAAAATTAAAAGAGGTTCACACATGAAAGGCAAGACACCAAAATCTACCTATTATGATAAATATGGCCAAGTGGCTCATTTACCAAAGCAGCTGCTGATAATGAAAAAATCACAAGTTTTTTTGAAGTTCATGAAGCTCAAATTAAGGACCCAGAACTCTTCAAATTCAATGAGACAGAAGAAGTTTCAAGTGATATGCAGAGGAAGAGAAAGGTAATTTTAATATTCATTTAATTAAAGAAAAAATAAAAGAACTGAAAGAACAATTAGAAAAAAAGCACAACCAAATGAACGTAATTGAATATAATCAAAAGAGAGCCATTTATGAATATCTTGTATTATTGGATGATAAAGGATGTGGAAAAATTAGTGCTAGTTTGGAGGTGGCTAAGAAAGTTTTTATAGATGCTGGTCCATGGAAAGCACAAAAGATTAGATATTCTGCAAATTATTGGTTACTTAATAATAAACTTCCAACATCTAGACATGGCAAACATCAAAAAACTGCTAGATTGATTGACAATGAAGATATTGCAGAAAAATGCCAAATTTGGATCCGTGAACAAAATTACAATGCAACTCCAGCTACATTCAAAAATTTTATTGAACAGCAATTGCTACCTAGCATCAAAATTACCAAAAAAAAGTCCATTTCTTTGAGGACCGCAACAAGATGGCTCAGCATCCTTGGTTATACTTTTACACAACATCATCAAGGAACATATTATGATGGACATGAAAGGGATGATGTTCTGCAATATAGAAAAGAATTCTTGGAAAAATGTTTGATCATGAGAAATACATGTCTAAATATGAAGGTGAAACAATGAATCGAATAAATCCAGACTTACCTGAAGGAAAAAAAGAAAGGATGCTTGTAGTTCATGATGAGTGTATTTTTTATTCAAAT